AGGACTGCGCGGCCTGCGCACAGTAGTCAGTATCTGTGGCAAGTCGCCTGCATGCTTGTTGACGAAGGCTACCGTTCTAGCGACTTTCTCTTCGGAGGCTGTCAGCCTTGGCATTCATTGCGAAGGTATGGTCCTGCAGGCTAAGGAAAACCCTAATCAACACCTGCTCCGGAACAGCTGGGGCAGGCGCTTCCCTTTTCGCCCTTTGCTTCCAGCTTTGCCACTAGCGCCCTTGCTTTTACCGGCGCCATGGCCCTTGCCGTTCTTACCAGTACCATTACTGGTGCTGTGGCCTTTGCCATTCCAAGAAGACTGGTACTGGTTGGTAGACTTGCTACCAGTACCATTCTTCGTCTTGGCCTTTCCCTTTCCCTTCGCCTTCCCTTTCCCTGGCAGTGTGCACTGACCAGACAACAGCAACAGCACCCCTGCAGCCAGGCTCTTGCCTTTTCTCTTTTCCTGCATCTTTCTAGCTTCGCGACGAATAAATCCCCTTGGCAGGCATGGTGTGAATAGGAACTGCAGAACCTTATGTTGAGAACAACAAAAGAACGCAACACTAGCACTACTGACAACGAGACAAAGCGGGATAATCACAATCGCTGTCGTGCTGCTGTTAAAAAAAAAAGTGCAAACACTGCGAAGCAATGCACCTATAACAACAAGAGCTCCATGCCCATTACCGCCACAACGCCAGGATCTGTCTACCGCAAGAGCGCCAGTTACGAGCTTGACCTTGACCGTGATGATAAAGACGAGTCCGACCACTGGGAGTACCACGACGACAGCGACAACAGCAATCACGGAGACAACAAGGGCGAAAACAACCAAGCCATCGACAACGACAATAATCCATAACAGCCATAGTGACAAGAACAATGTCAGCAGCAAAAACCATTGCAACATCATGTGCAGCAGTAGCATCGCCAGACCAGCAACGACAACAGAAGCAGCAACAACAACCACCAAAACCGCAAGCGACAACCTAAACAAAAAAACACGTGCCACCACACCACCAAACCAGCAGCAAACCAACACTGCACCAACAACAAACCAAGAGCAAACCAAAAATGCACCAACAGCAACCAAGAGCAAGCCAACAACAAACCAACAGCAAACCCGCCGCAAACAAGCAGCAAACCAACAACATACACAACAGAAGCCGACGACGACGACGACCAGCGCCACCACAACCACAGCCACCACCACCACCACCACCACCACGACTACCACCACCGCCACGAGCAGCAGCAGCAGCTTCAGCAGCAGCAGCAGCAGCAGCACCACCACCACCACCACCACCACCACCACCACCACCACCACCACCACCACCACCACAGCAACCAAAACAACCACAAGCACAGCCCCGACCACGATGCGGAGCACGCTTCGCTTTGACGCGGCTTTTGGTAGACACATCCTAGTCGAAGCGGCCGTTTGGGCGGGGTGTTGCGAGAAGAGTAGAGATTCGCTGTTCAGGGCTTCAGAAAACAAATCGACAGACCCTCACATGGATAGGAAGGCACAGAAAAAAACGAGAGAGAGAGAGAGAGAGAGAGTACAGTACCTTTCCACTCTTGCCAGGCGAGGCTCTGCGGACTCTCAATCTCCTCGGCCTGCTCAACCAGCGATTTGAGGACCTCAGGCTGTTAGCGCTTGGGGTTTGGACTTCAAAGGGGGGGGGCCTCGGGCTGTTGTGTACTCTCAGGAATCTCATATTAAGGCCCCTATAGCAAATCCTTATAACAGCCCTTATAGTCATGGGATTCACTCTTTTGAGCCAGATACCTGCATTGCATCATGATGCTCGAGATCCTGCAAGACGGAAAGGACCTCAGTTCCATCACAGTAGGGACACCCGAAATCTGCTGGTCAAAGATGTCAAAGTGAGCTGGAGGCATGCCCCATATGAAGGGGAAAAGCGAGGGAGATGTTGGTGTTTACCCATCGGATCCGCCTGAGAGCTGCTCTGGCACATGAAAAAACCGCAGGATCACAGCCACACCTCATGAGGATGCCGATCTGTTCAGCTATCTTCTTGCCGACATCCCCATGGCCACTTTCGAAAATCTTCCTTAGTCCGTAAGATGGGGTTCCGGGCTCGGGTAATCAAGGGTCTGTTCTGGGGATTGGGGTTTGTAACTGATCAGCATTCATGGATTATGGGATTTGCCGGCTTTCTAGATCAAAGCAGCCAAGCGTCTTGGAAGCATCAGCGATCAGGGCGTTTGGCTTGTCCACCATGTCGGCATTGCCCTCAACGTCCTCTCTCACCGCAGCTGCAAGCACACATCAAAGCCGCGCAGTCAGATGGAGAGGATGCAAGACCGAGCAAATCCTCAAAGCCCTAAATATCCCCTGAACCAAGCATCCCTGTCAAACTCCAAACCCCCGAAAATTCTGAAACCTCATCAGAACTACCCCTGAAACACCCTCCTAAAAAAAACCTTAAAACAGCCTACACCCCTAAACCCTAAATCCCTAAACCCTATACCCTAAACACCAAACCCCTAAACCCCTAATCCCTACACCCCTAAACCCTATGCCCTAAACCCTATACCCTAAACCCTATACACTAAACCCCTAAACCCTACACCCCTAAACCTCAAAAGCCAAGCCTTGAGGAGCTGCATGGCGATGGGCTCAGAGAGACGGGCCACGTTCCGACCCACCTTCGCCAGGTCGATCTTCGTGCAAAGCCTGGGATGTTCCCAAAGCCCTGGCGGGTTTTTTGGGGAGTTTTGGGGTTTAAGGTTTAGGATCTATTTTGGAGATGTGGGTTTAAGGTTTAGGATTTAGAGGCTGCTTTTCATTTTCAAGGGCTGAGGAAATTGTCGGGATTTATGGCTGTGGAAGTTGGGGTTTCGGATCCACGGAAAGAGCTCGCCAAGAAGCGTTCCGGACTTGTTCATCGCCAAAATTTTGTTGTGAACAGTTGGAATCAGCTTCGGGGCTTCCGCCCAGTCTCCCTCCTCTGCCTCGAGGGTTTGGTGCGGTTCTGGGTTTAAGCTCTTTGGGGTTTGCCGTTTCGGGTTTTGGGGTTTAGGGTTTAGGGTTTTAGGATTTAGGGGTTTAGGATTTAGGGTTTCGGAACAGTGTTTAGTCTCTCCCACCTCAGCCTCCCCCTCCTCTCCTTCTTCCCAGTCACCGGCACCTTGGCTCCAGGCCTCCAGGGGCTCATTGATTTAATATTCGTATTCTAACGTTCATAGTCATGCTCACATTAATATTCATATTCAAACTCATATTATTACTCATATTAATATCCATCCTGATATCCATATTGATGTTCCTATGTGTGTGTGTATATATACACACATACATATTCGTATTCTTAAAAGAAGTTACAGTACAGGTTAGGGGTATTCCCTCGGAGTCCCCATCCGCATATAGCTATTCTATACATACTGCTCCTATGTCCCCGTATAGCTATAAGCAGCATACTTAATACAATACAGCCCAAAACCCGACTATCATCATGTTTTTTAACGTTAAAAATATAAGCAGCATACTTAACATAATATAGCCCAAAACCCGATTCCGCGCCTCCTCTTGACCCTCCTCTTCCTCGGCCTCTGCCGCAGGTGCCTCTTTGCCCTCCTCAGCAAAGGCATCTGCCGCCTGCTTTGAGGGTCTCGTATACCCATGACTCCAATATCCCTTAAGTAGGGAATATACCTGAAATTAAACTAGGGTTCCTAGTATATGTTAAGGCATATTATTCCTTTCATGGGTATTGGAGTCTGCGGGCGAGGTGCTTTTCGGTTCCGGATTTACGGTTTCGGGGTTCAGGTTTCCACTGGAAATGCTTCGAAAAGGCTGATTTCCGCGTCATGTCCGCGTGATTTGTTTTCGTCTCCAGGCGAATGTCAATGCGTCCGGAACGGTCGGAAAACACGCATGAAACGCACTAAGGCTAGGCGCTCTTGACGATTGGGTTGCTCACGGAGTCGTAGCCAGATTGGAGAAATGAGCGGGCTCGTCAAGATGTGTGAGTGTGTACGCTGTATCATGGTACGATTGAAATTCCTGTCCAGTGCTCTGTTGTTGTACTTGCCAGGGGCTCTGTCTGAAGAGCTCGACTCTGCTGTCATGGCGCAGTCTACTAACGGGTCATCTTCACGGCTTCGGCTCCCTCGCAAGCTACATCTTGAGATTGTTCCGAGCCTTACTTATTATTCGATTTCAATCTCGGAGGTCAGGAAGCGTGCCCTTATGCCCCTGCGACTTTGTAGCATGGACTTTCGACGACCGCTCTTACCGGAAGTTCTCACACGCCTCTGAGAATCTCGAAGCCGTGTCATGTCACAGACATGCTTCGTCGCGAAACCTGGCCTGCTCATCCTGCTCCGCGGGCGGGGCCATCAGTGCCTACCAGAACAAGGGAGAAAGCCCAAAATGAACCCTACATGGACACGGACTACGTCTACCCCCTTGAGCTGCGCGCCGTCGCGGCGGCGACCACGAAGGTGGTGGGATCCTGGTGGGCCTCCTCAGCCTCCTCCAGCCCTTCTAAGACTTCCAGGGCGGAGTCCAAGGGTATCTGGGAAAGCTGGCGAGCTACGCCTCCCAGGCGCAACTCCGTGGCGAAGATGTTGGAGTCATTCAGCTCCCGGATTCGGTCGGTTATCCTTTTGGAGAGCTTCACCGTCGCCATGGCGAAAGCCCTTTTTTCAAAGTCTTGTTACTACTTAAAGCATAAGCCTTGTTGCCTACTTAAAACATGTTGTAGAAGAGAACAGTGGGTCAAAGTCATGCAACTTTGCATCAAAACTGATAGGTTGTGAATCGGCTAAATATGCAGGTCCATCCATCCGTACCAATGAGAACAGTGATGGTTTGCAACAGGCAGTATGTGAAAGGATTTGCTTATCACGATCCACAATCGGCTCTTGATGGAGGTTTTGTAAGTACACCTGCTGATCTGTGCAGTTTTTCGAAAGGTCTATGCAATCTTCTGAAGATTGTAGTGCATGTCTTTTGTTTCTGCCGGAAACATGTCACCGCCGGCGCAACCAGGGAGGAACTTGCACAGCTTTTGCGGCGGGAGCCTGGCAGAAGAAGGCAAGGGTTCGACCAGATTGAATGGGCAACGGTAAAGGCTGAGGCCCAACCTCTTCAGTACTGTAGCCAGCCGCGGCCGCGGCACCTAGCCGCAGCCGAGGACGTCTCATTCCGGCAGGGCCCTCTGCTGTCCTTTGAAGCCTGCCTGCTGCAGAGCCCGCAGCAGCTGCTTTTGGAGGGCGGGCTTCCTGCGCATAGGTTGTTAATCAAACAGCCACGTTCCTTCGTTCGACACTGCGAATGTGCCCAATGGCATACACTCCCCACCGTCTGTGAAAGCTAAATCGAGCCCTGATGTCCTTGTCAGAGACCATGCAGCGTCCCATCAATGAATCCAGCCAATCATCCTGCTCATGAAAACTCCCAGCCGATCTCGGCAGACCTTTTGTCACATGCTGGGTACCGATATGTATATGTATATATGTATGTATCTATGTGTAGATATGTATAGATATGTATGTGTATATATACATGATCATTTGTATACGTATACGTATATATGTTACGCTAGCAGCCAGAAGCTCCTCCTCTTTGGCCGCTTCTTTCCGTGCCTTCACGTCCTGCAGTGCAGACCCCGGCCCGAGCAAAGGAAACAAAAAGAGAGAGACAAACAGTGACTCAGTAGAGACCAAGACATCATGGTAGTATCTCTGACTTTCGCAACGACTTTAACCGCTGCTCGGGCATGTGGCGCTTGGTACAAGTGCTATAGTCACGGAGCCAATTCCGGCACGCTACGTGACATCGCGCTGTAGATCTTAGATCAGGGTTTGGACGCTTTCGCCTCGCAGGGTTTGGGGGTTCGAATTCCGATTTTACGGTTGGTCGTCGGCGTCGCAGAAGTAGTCGTAGTCGTCGTAGTAGTAGCAGCAGCAGCAGTAGCAGTAGTAGTGTTACTATTCCAAAATCTCGTTCTGTCACCAGTTTTCTGCTACTACTACTAGTACTACTACTACTACTGCTGAATCCTGAAGCACTGCCTTTGTACAGGACCATGAGTGGAGCTTGTGGTTTGCAGGACCTTGTTGCTCCGTCAAGCGGAGTTTGGCTCGAGGAGCCATGATCGACAGAAGCCAGCAAGGACTTGATGTCTTAGACTGCGTGCGTAAGTCAAGATCCTAAGTTATGCACAGATGCACTTAGGAACAAACGCACTTTGTTGCTGTGCCGGAAAAGTGTGAAGGTTGTCTCTGCCCATGGCCGTTGCGGTTCCTTCGGGGATCATCCGATAAAGGTTGGAACGATTCTTCGAAGGAGGCGTCAAGCAATGCAGGTTCCAGCTGAAGAGCCTACTCAGGGTGCTCTTCAGGTGATGAGCCCAAACGCTCCTGCTGTGCGAGAAGGAGCTTCGAACAGGGCTGGAACTGCTAATGGGTCTGATGAAGGGCTAGTGAATGGTGTGGCCCCTGCCGCTTCGCAGACTTTGACGCAACCCGTGAGACATGGTGCAGAGAACGTAAGCCCTTCTGATCTTGAGGTGATGAGAGCTCTCCAGGACCAGATCGGTGGCCCAGACGTTGGTGGCCGTGCTGCTGCAGAGGACGCTGTTCAAGGGGTCGTTCAGACTGTAGTGCCTGTTCAGACGATGGATGGTGGTCAAGCTTCGATGGCTGCAGCTATGGCGTTGGAAGATGGGAGTGTTCATGCTATGAGGGCTGATATGGAAGTGCAGCAAGGTTCTTCTTCGTTGACGGTTGTACGCTGGATTTCGAGGTTGAACGACTTCCTGACGACACAAAGCCAGTCTGTGTTGGGTTCAGTTGGGTTTAATACGACGCCTACTCAGGGGCCCCGACATTTAGGACCAGCACAACAAGCAACCACACCCGTCACCACACCAACACGCAGTCAGCAAGCAGCAACAGCAGCAGCGAGACAGAGGCCATCCTCGTCACCTCTGGTGTTTTCCCCGCCAGAAGAGTTGCCGCAGGGCAGACAGCCTTGGGGCCCTGACTACCCGATGCAGGAAGCTCCGTTGTTCTCTCGAGAGGCCTGGGAGCAGATGATGAGGTTTTCTCAGCGGGCTCCGTGGCTTTACGGTCGAGGAGGGCATTCACAGGGCGATTCGACTACGGGGTCTTCAGAGATTCAGGCGGAGGTGCAGCGCCAGATGGAGGGCTTGATGAGAAACCAGTCGAGACAGCTCGATGAGATGCGCGAAGAACTTCAGTACCTGAGAGCCGAGAGGGCAGTGCTTGCAGATCGCTTAGCTCGGGGGGAAAACCAACGTCGGGTTCAACATGAAGGAGACGATGGTCTTCGGCATCAAAGTGATCCTCGTGGTGAGCGGTATGTTCAGCATGAAGAAGACGATGGTCGTCGGCATCAAAGTGATCCTCGTGGTGGGCATGTTCAGCATGAAGAAGACGATGGTCGTCGGCATCAAAGTGATCCTCGTGGTGTTAAGTATGTTCAGCATGAAGGAGACGATGGTCGTCGGCATCAAAGTGACCCTCGTGGTGGTAAGTATGTTCAGCATGAAGGAGACGATGGTCGTCGGCATCAAAGTGATCCTCGTGGTGACACAGTTTATGTGCCTAGCCAGTCAGTCGGTGGTCCACATGTGCCTAGCCAGTCAGTCGGTGGTCCACAAGTGCCTAGCCAGTCAGTTGGTGAGTTTCAGCAGAACAGTGGCGCTGTTTTCAGAGGGGGTTTTCCGGATGCATCTCAAGGACCTCAGGGAGAACCAAGCCTAGGTGGTGTCGCGGTCGACTCTGTGAACCTTGGTGGCGAGCAGAACAGGAATGTCCGACAGAAGGTTGGTGAGGGACTAGCTGGAAGTTCGTCTTGGAGAATGCCGAGTGGCCCGCCTACTGTGTATGGACCAGGGATCAGCGCTACCAGGTGTGAGACCTTGGGCAGTGGCTGCCCAGCACCGTCTACAGCGCCAGGTGTTGCGATTGCTCGGCCGCCATCTTCAGGAGGCCAGCAAATTCACTCTGCCGTCACGAATGAGAAGCTCTTGGAAACGCTGGCAGAGGGAATGCAGCAGCTGCAACAGGCTCAGTTGAGCCAAATGGAGCGCGGTGAAAGGAAAAAGGAGGAAGAGGCGCCGGAACAGTGCAAGCCGGGGACGACAACACTTCCTGCCTTACCTCCTCCTAGTGGTCATGAGAGTGCTGTGTCCCTTCAGGACTGGATCGAGGTGATTGACGGTCCGCTCAGGGACATCTCGGATAGCAGCTCGTGGTGGTGGGATTCTGTGAAGGAGAGAGCGGCTACGAGTTACCAGAAATGGGTGGCTTCGGGTCCTTATGAGAGGCTGGCTCTCAAACCGCCAACCGCGGACGACCTCGAGAAGGGCAAGTACTCACGCTTGAGTGCGAGGACGGCGGGTATGATGCTACAAGCGATGCCTGAAGTGGTGAGGACTGAGATGGTGGCGAGGGCGATTACAAGATCACCAGTGGCCCTACTGTTTCGCTTGTGCACGATGTACCAGCCGGGCGGTGAGAGCGAGAAGGCCTACATCCTCCAGTACCTGGTTTCCCCGCCCAAGGCAACTACGGCCAACGAGTTGGTGACGATCCTGCGACAATGGGAAAGGCTTCTTTTGAGAGCTGACAACCTGAACATCGCGAAGCCCGATCCGTCGCTGTTGGTGCGAGGCTTGAACGTTCTAGTGGCAGAGCTGTGGGCCAAGGACCGGGACGTGATGTTCAGAACGCAGTTGGTGAAGAGCAAGCTGGGGGTGGATGTGAACCCCACCTGGGAGTCAGCTCTACAGCTACACCAGCACTTGAGGGCCGAGTCTGAGAACTTGGTGAATGGACTGCCTACAAGGCCGACTGTCACTGAGCCCTTGAGAGACCCTAAGCTCCGACCTTTGCAGCCAAGTGGCCAAGGACAGCCGAGGCCACCAACCACAAGCACTACCACGACAACAACGACGGTGCCCAGTGGTGGAGGAGCAGGAGTGGGAGAGAAAAGATGCAAGTGGTTCACTGAGCCAGGAGGGTGTCGAAGGGGAAGTTCGTGCAAGTTCATCCACAGCTTTGAGGGCGTCTCGAAGAAAGACAGATGCTACACCTGTGGGGCGGAGGGCCATCAGTCTAAGGCGTGTCCGACGAAGGCGGAGGGCGGTGAAGCTGGGAACCCAAAGGCGAAGGCCAAACCAAAGGCTAAGAGTGCGCCCAGCACTCCCTCTTCGAAGGACGAAGCGGCGAAGACCGCGCCTGCAGCGAGGGCAATGACCACAGAGCCTGAACCACCGCCGTCGGCTCCTACGTCTCCGGTGACTGGAGAAGGCGGTGGAAGTGATGTGAAGGATGCCTTGCGAGATGCAGCCCAGGCGCTGAGATCAATGATGAGCTCACCGGGCAGCAGTTCGACCTCTACGCCTAACACCTTGGAGAGTCTTCAAAAGCAACTTGATGAACTACGACTGAAGGCCATGAAGGTGAATAGAGACGTGGTGGAGTTGAAGAAGTCGCGACAGACGCCGCTGGACGCTCGAGTTTTCGAGGACTTGCCGGCTATCCCCACTTTGATTGACTCTGGTGCCACCCATATCCTTCGACAACCTCGTGATGAAACTGAGTTGGGGGCAGCCAAGAGGGTCTCAGTTACCCTGGCCAATGATGAACGGCGTGATCTACTACAAGCTGAGTCCGGGGCGATTCTCTCAACCTCACCAGAAACCCAGCCCATTTTGCCGATGGCTGAGCTTGTGAGCGCGGGGTGCGAGATCAGTTGGAAGCGTGGCGTCTTCAAGGTGATTCATCCTGTGTGGGGTGAGCTCAAGACCTCGCTACGTGGTGGATGTCCAGAGCTGGCACAGGACCAGGCCGCCAAGCTCGTGAACTTCATCGAGGAGAAGAAGCTCAGGGAGTTCGAGGACGGTGTGCAGCTCCTCCAGAGCAAGATTGAGCACTTGATCCATGAAGAGAGGTTGCCGTGGACCACCTATGCGATGAGGTATGTTGAAAGCGGCTCTGCCAAGAACTTGTGGAGGGCGGTGCATGGATCCTTTATGAAGGGGTTTTCGGAGAAGGTTTTGGACACCTTGTGCCCGGAGGTGCGACTGGATGATGGTTGGAACACTTTGAAGGCGCTACCTCTTCCACGGAGACTTCGGAAGAGGATGATGGAGTCCACTCGCTGGATCGTTCACCTACCTGTCCATCGCGACGAAGCGTTGTTGAGGCCGGAGACCTATGGAGAGGATGCTGTGGTGGTGTCGGTCCATGGAGGTCTGCTTCCTCAAGCCTACGAGGCATTGATGTGGGGAGCGGCGACGGGACGGATTGCGGCTGTCACGGGTGCTACTCCAGCGACCTCAGTTGGAAGCGAAGTTCAGGCTGTGAGGTTGGCCCGGGCTATGCTGTTGTATGTTGTTGGGAGACTGGCGAGACCTACGGGACGAACAGGATTCTTCTGGACAAAGCCAAATGGAACCAACAACGGCGAGGTGGTTGACCTCCTGAAGGAGTTCAAGAAGGCGGCTTCCATGAAGGAGATTGAGTTTAATCAAGGGGCATGGGGCGGAGGACCACGGAGGCCAACGGTGGCGACTACGAACTACGACCTCGATTGCCTGAGGAAGGACTATCCTGCTGAG